TAAAAAAGTAATAATTGAGGTTAAATATAAGATAAACAAGAAGAAAAGGGTAGACTTTTTTGGTAGTATAGTATAGTTTATATGCTAAAACGTTACATCTAGAAGAATATTAAAGCTTTTTGTTTTGTGTTTGATGACATTGTTGTTAGATGATGACACGTGGAATCGTTTTAGATAATTATAAATGGTAGGCAACTAAACTTGTTGGAATTACAGGTGTGTTGTGTTCTTGACTCTTGATTCAGACCAATGAATCTAATCCTCTTTTGTTTTGTCTTTTTTTTTTTTTAATGTAATAAAAGTAAAAAAAAACACAAAAATAGAAAAACACAAAGTAGAGTTTTGGAAGGAACGTAGAGTCACCGGTGGACGGCGGAGAGAAGTCGGAGATATGCGGCGAAAATACATTGGACCGATGGTAACATGTATTAGGTATTTTTTGACATTATGTTTTTGTAATATAAAGACAAATCTTAAATCTTATGTCGAATGTTTTGGGTTCGAATCTAGAAACGATGATATTAATATTTGTAGTGGAAAATGATATTAATATAATCTTGGAACTTAGAATAAGATGTTACGAAAGTTATTAATTTTGCTTTGTGACAAACTATACATTTTTATTGATTATTCAATAAATTGTTCACATATTTTTAGGTTTTGGGAAAAAGTATATCCTCTAAGTCGCAATTTTTTTTTTAATCCTTCAATTTTAGAAAATGCAAAAAAAAACATCGTGAAGTCAAAGAGAATACGAAAAAATAATCTGTCATCATCATCGTTATATGTTAAATCGAAGCCCCAACGATAGTAATACCAAATTTAAATTTTAAATTTTAAAATTCTAATTTATGTGACGGTAGAAACGGTTAGAAAATACATATAACGGCTATATTACGTATTATTTTGACTTCATATGTTTAATACGTATTTTTTGGAGATAAAGGATAAAGTTGCAAAATATGGTACTTAGAATTTTGTTTTACAGGTAAGAAAATAAATTTAGAAAAGTTCTTAAAAATAATTTTGGTTAGTGGTATTTCAGTATATGTCTCTAATTTCTTAAAAATATTGGTACAACTCTTAGAGCATGGTTAAAATTCAAAAAATATTCCTTAGTAACTCATATATGTATATCTAATTTCCATTTTGTGAAATAAGTTACTAAGTTTAATTTCATTACTTACTACTATGTTAGAAGTCAAATTATTTTCTTCTTTATCCAACATATACAAATATAACTCATGAAAAGTAACATAGATTTTACAATTAAATTAGATTTCAAATTATAACAATGGATCTAACGCTATAGAATAAGCGTATGGTGCTGTTTAAGTACAATTTGTTATTAAGGAACGCATTATGTAAGACGAGTGATGGAAGAAGTAGTAAGAAAATGATGTTTGAATGGTGAAAAATTCATTATGCAATGTAAAAACATATTTGAATGGTAGAAAATCTAAGAAATGGTGTGGGATGTATATTTAGATAAAATATTGTATAAAATTCAAATAGAATAATAATAAAAATGATATTACGAAATGTTTGTGTTTTTTTTCTCTTGGTGGTTGAAGAATGAAGAAATGAAATGACCAATGGATTTACTGCCAAATGTATTACCTATAAAAATGTCTGTAGACATAGAGAGCTGCAGATTTCCTAATGATAAAAATGCTGATGCGATGATCTGGTTATATATCCATGAACACAATTACTATGAACATTTAGCTAGATCTCGAGCTGGTTATTGGGACTAAAACCAATAGAAGACATATTCAGCCTCAAGTTCAGCTTGATCTTAATCATTTAGAAATATATTTAAAGATAGTAGATTACTCTACATATTTTTACCATAACTCTCTTTTCACATAAGAACAAAACATGCATATAAAGTTTGTAAAGCTTCAGGATTAAAATGATTGTGGTAACTAGTCAGATAACCAACTAGAGAATATAATTTTATAAAATATAATCGAGTGAAATATAATTAAAACCCATTAAGAGATTACAATAAATTGAAGTATTCGACTGAAGATATATTTACTTCTCCCTCCGTTCCTAATTGATTATTTTTCTAGGGATAAAATTTTGTTAATATTGGTTTAGAGTTCTTAAAAACCGTGAAGCACAAAAAAAAATGCAATTATCATTGACTTTTAAATGTTTTCTTAATACGTGTGAAAAATTTAGAAAAATAATCAATTAGGAAAGGAGGGAGTAGTTCTAAAAATGATTCAGAACTAAACCAAATTTGAATAACAATTTTACTATTCCTTTGCAAAAGTTACCTTTTCTTTTAGTGAGCCTTTTAGTTAATAGATATACTGTATATGAAGGAATGTAAAAGCGGATATTTTAGTCCGTCGAGTGCATGGATCTCCGCAAATATGTAAACAATTGTCCCTTTGATTGGCTCTTATTAGCTAATTTTAGTTTTTGTTTTCAAAAAAAAAAACAAAATGTCTTTGCCTAATGACACCCATAACTCATGTTCGATTCCCCGTTTGACATCTTTGTTTATTTTTTATTTTTCCTTTATGACAAATGAAAATTAAAAATATGTACGTGTTTTTTTTTCCATCTTTCATATGCTTAGATGATTACTGCATGAATTCAAATAATTCTTATTTATATCTATATTAACATTTTTGAAGTATCTTTTGTGTTCTACCCTTTTATTTTGTGATATTTTCATAATTAACCTCTTGTCATTTAATTAAATAGAAAAGTTTAAGAAAAATTTTGTAATTAAATCATAATAAAATTGTAAAATTAGAAATCAATATTTATTACATTTAACAAATTTCCTAAAATCTCTCCCTAATAAATCAAATATTTCTCCAACATCTTTATATGATCTTATTTGTTTTTAAATTTATATTATTACATAAACATATGTATAATAAAATATATTTTTTTTTAGCATATGTTGCAATTTGAAATTTTAGAAACGGATGTATATTACTCAAACGATACAAAAAATGGATGTACTAAAGTATTATTGATAATAGTGTAGCAACGAGTCATGTGATGGAACGGGTTATCTATATATATAAAGTTAACTTTTTCTCTCTTCTCCTTAAGCCACATCATCATCTACCTCATTTTATTATTTAATTTTTAAAATTAATTATATTATTTTATCATTTAATTTTAATATTTAAACCTATGTAAATAAGTTTTTCCAAATGAATATGAAAAGTTTTTTTTTATATATTATATACCATAAAACTAAAAAAGATAATTGATTAAGAGTTAAAAAACTTATTAATTATCGATTATACTAACAAATATAATGTATAATATAAACTACATCATCATTCATCTTAATCTTTTACATTGATTTAGAAATACAACACTTTAGTTTAGTGGTTTTAAGAAAATAAATAATATAGTAAAAACATTTATGTCCAAAATAAATAAAACAAGTATCTATTTATAAAGTAATGATCAATTTTTTGATTAATGGGGCTAAATACAAAGCAATGATATTTATACTATACAGATAGATATACCACTAAATTGATGTCATGTCATCCGAATCCACCTCAAACGAAAGCACAACCGATTTTAGGCATAAGAAGTAGAAAAAAACTAAAAAGTAAAATGAAAACACTTGGATAAATAAATAAGTGGATTCACCAAAATAATTTGGTTTACAAGAATTGAAGGCTTTTGAAATGTAAGGTTCTAACATCTACTATTTGACCTAAATCAAAGTTAAACAAATAAAAATAAACATTTCATATACTAAATTAATATAAAAACAGCAGTAAAAACAAAACAATATAAACAAAAAACAAAAAAAAAATCAAAATATAAATTATAAAATATAAAAAACAATTATAAAACACTCGCGCGCAGCGCGGGTCAACAACTAGTAATTTATATAATTATGATTATATATATTTTTATGGGTTGTCTACTATTAGTATAACTCACAAAATATTTTAATATGAAATTATACTATGTAAATGAATATTATGTCAATATCATTTCATTATTTTAAATATTATACTTATTTAATTAATATGATCAAATTACGGTTATATAAAAAATAAATTATCATATAATATTATACGGGTTAAATCATAGAATTAATAATCAAAATATAGTTGTACACTCTTATATACCAAAAAAAATTAATAAAATAATACATTTTATGAATGTCGTCTCGCGGTATACCGCGGGTTAAAATCTAGTTCACGTAACATTATCTAAATGTTATGTACAGCTAAATTTCCAGACGTCGTTTCCGACCATAGTAATCATAAATTAGTCGGAAAGATTTTAGAAAACACGTTGACAACTGCTTTTTGGTGAATTTTTCGACCATATTTTTTAGAAACTTTTTGACGAGTTTGTCGGATATTGTACTTGTTTCCGATTAAATCATTTTTGTTGGAAATTTTCATATGTTTTCAATGACCCTATTGTTTCTTAGAAGTTTGTCTCCTTAATCTGCAAATTAATAAAATCGCATTATCTGGGCGTCGAACCCTAGACCTCTTGATGTAAAAGCTTTAAACAACTTTTCGTCAACCACTGGACCATCTAAATTAATGTTTACAACTATGTTTTTTGGCAGCATTAGGGTTAAAAGACATGAATGCTTAAATAAACACAATTATTGGAATGAAGTGTTATACTGAAAAAAAAACACAACTTTAAATGAATAGATGCAAATTTTTAAAAAGACACACCAGTGACCAAACCATAAGAAATTACTAAAAAATAAATTTATATTTTACTAAGAGTTACGGTCAAAAGACATAACCATATAAAACATTATTCAGATTGTTATAATTATATAAATTAGATACTACTATAGAATTTTTTTTATTCAACTCCTAAAACCTTTCATTGCAGAAAACCAGTCAAGTAATTATATTTTATTATTCCAACTTCTTTCAATTAATTTTAATTAATTTATTGATTTGACTATTGTTAGTATGTTACGATTGGTAAAAATAATAGTAAAAACCTTTATAAATTAAGGATAAGATAAATCTTCTTACTAATTGTATTTGCCATTTTACGTAACTCTTACTAATAAAAAGATTATGACATACTTAAAAATGTTAATATAAAAGATCATTGTAATTGGTAGATCACGAGGTTGTGGGATTAGAAGGGATCCTCAAGAGCGTGACCATCTTTGCATTTTACTACTCAGAATCCTTCTTTTCTTGTTAGCCTTGTTCTTTGAAGCTAACTTGAGTTTCCTCTTTGCGTTTCTCTCAGGGTTTATCACAGCCATTAGCTTCTCCTCTCGCTTCCTCTTCTCCCTCTTAGCTTCCAAACTCTTTTTTACTTCGTTGTAGACTTGCACAAACATTTGGCTGCCTAAGCTCTCGTCTCTTATACTGTCTCTTACCTCTTCCGCAAGCTGTTTCACCTCAGCTGAGATGACTTTCCCTGTGAACCCTTGGCAAACTTTGTACAGCGGAAACAGAATCTTGAAGGCGTATAGGCGAAGACACTCTTCTTGATTCAACTTTGAGGCAAATTCTTTATAAACATTCAACACAATTCTCGCATGAATCAAGTCCATATCAAGAGCAAGCTTCCCCATTCTTTTGAGCAAACTCCCAACCAATACAATTCTCAAGTCATCTCGGCTTCTCTTGCTGCTGCCTGAAGTAAGAGCCAAGAAAGTAGACCTTACTTTCCCTGAATCAACTACTACAAAGGCTTCGAGGAACTCAGCTTTCTCGTTGTTGTCAAGACTGGACCAGTACTCATCATCTGATTGTCCAATCATTGAATGAAGACTAGAGACCGCGAAAACTATATTCTGTGTGACATTATCTTCATTGTTTTGGTTGCCTTCTTCTTCTTCTTCTGCAATGGCATCATTTTTTTTGTCGACTCTGCTGCGGTGCATCTTCACCTTTAACTGGAAGCAAAGAGAAGCAGCTACCATGAAGAGTCTACTTGGCTTACCAAGAAGAGACTCAGCTACTGTTTTCGGAGACTCGGCTAATTTCTTGAAATAATAATTCAGTAGCCTGCAGGTTATGTTTTCCAGCCATTCATGTGGGTGCAACAACAGCTTAAACACCCAATTCCATACATCCTGAAGAAACAAGAAAAAAACTTAATGAAATATTGAAATGATTAACGAGACAAGAGCTTCTCAGGACTAAGATTTGTTTACCTCTAAATGTTTTTCAAAACATAAATCAGGAAACTGCTTGAGCATCTTCTCTATCATAACAAGAGAGTAGTATGCTTCCTTCCAGAAAGGAATGCTGCCTTCCTCCGCAGTGTTTTGCAGCTGTGCAGCAGACTCCAAAATCGGTTTAGCCTCCTGCAACAATATACGTTGGATATGCTCCGGAAACGCAACCTTCCTGACTTCAATAAAAAATCCCAGTACCTGCACAGCCATACAACAAATGAATGAGATAGTTGTCAACTGCTGCAAGAAGCCAAGCGCATACCACAAAAGCTGCTCGGCCCTCGGAGCAATTTACCTGTGCAGCTTTAGCCTGTGTGTTCTCCTGCTTGTACCAAGCCAAACAGAGCTCAAGACTGGAACTATAATTACTTATGCGACCTATCAGAAGTTTTATCAAATCACAGATCTTGGACAAGGATTCTTTAGCATTATCAGCTGCCAGGCGACGAGTAAGCTCAACAAACAAGATTTGAGACTGCTGGTCAAGAACTGACTGCTTGCCGAGTTTAGGTTGCGAGAATTTCTCGATAAGATCTTCAAGAAACTCAAGAACTACTTTTCTTCCAGTTGAATGTTCATAGCTGGAGGAAGAAAACTACAGTTAATATTTGAAACAAAACTAGAGGCCATATATATTTCCACAAAGGTTTGTTGCACATACATACCTCAGATTTTTCAGCAGAAAGTTAAAATGTCCTTCTAAGCATTTCTTAGAAAGTGTATAATTGACCAAAACATCTAACAGTAACTCTTTGCACTTCTTGCAGACTGATTCATTATCCCCACGGGTGATCATCAACTTTGAAACCTGTTCCGCAACATCATAAAGCTTCGGAACTTTCCTTTTCACAATGGCCTTGAGAAGTGAAAGAGAAGCATTCAATGAATCCACAACTGAATCCGATTCCAGATCAACAAACATAGGGAGTTGAATAAGCATATTCAATTCCTCAGATGAGAAAGTGAAATTTTCATTGCTGAGAAGAGCTTTTAAAAGCTTTTTTCCTGACTGCACAAGAGTACTACTGGACATCTCTGCACACTTAGCAATGATTTGGGTTTTCACTTTACCTGCTTCAGACTTGAGAGAGGGCAAAGGTAACCTTATCAATGCAGTGAAACAACTAACCGATGAAGATACAACATCTTCATACTTAGAGATCAAGCACCCAACAAGTAGTTTGACAAATGGATCCAACTTCGACACCAGCTCTTCATTAGTATTTTTGGGTTGGATTTTCTTCAGTCTGTTGTGTAGTAAGTCCAGAGCAAACACGGTAATGAGATGTGGACATGACTTAACATCAGAAGTCTCTTGCAGATGTCTCGATTTCGTTTTCTTTTGGAACGGTAGAGAAGACGCTTGATCTCCAAGGCAACTCTTGTTGTTAATACCATCATCAACACGGTGGTATATAAAACAGAAAAGATCTCCTTGATCAACAGATGGATTGCTTTCAATACCAAACGCAATATGCTTTAACATATCCCCAAGTTTTGATTTTAAATTTGACGTCATAGGCCTTTGCAGCTGTCTAGTTACCAGAGAAAGGAGCTTCAATGCATGGCATCTGAACGTTACATTTTCAGCAATCAATCTCAGAGTATCCAGTGACTTGCGTGTTTTCGTTTCTTTCTTCGTCTTCAATGAATGTCCTTTATCCTCTTTATGTTCATCAACATCTCCGAGGATATCAGCTTCCACAACATCAAGGAGATTTTCTAAACAATGATCCAACATCGAACCCGTAGGGTTTGGCAGGCACTCTGATAAGATGCAATTAACGGTGTATCCGAGCACATGCACCTCAGATCCTTTTTTCAATAATGAAAGTAGTTTTTTAAGGAAAAGTGTTAAGTAAGCTTCCAGCCCAAGTTCCTTCAAACAATCAGCTAGAACCTTTCTGGCTTCACAACGTGCGCGGTCCTCCCGGCTCTTCAAAAATTTGGAAAGTTTATAAACTAGAGAATCAAGATTTGACTCCATTATCTCCTTGGGGAGCAGCTTTAGAACCTTCACCGCAGCTAAATAGCTTCTCAGAGTAACACTATCAGATTCAGAATCCATCAGCTTCTGTATCTTCGGGAACAAGGTTTTCTCGAGGCATGTCCTAACCTCCTGTTCGTAACCATCTTTTGCAAAATGAAATTTGTCCAAAATCGAGCAGACGAGATTCACCAAACGCTTTCTCTTCTCTGTATGCTTCTTCATCTCACGGAAACACCGATTCAACAGAGCGTAGTACGAACACCAACTCATATGAGCAGACACTGATGCAAGGGCTTCTCCGCATGCGTCATGGAGACTTTGAACTTTTCCATCTTGACCTTTTTTATCTTGTCCATCAAGCAACATGTTGAAAAACACTGAGACTAAAAGTTTCCTCACTACACCCTGCAACCTCAACAGCAATTAGTCATAGGTCCATCGACACTACAAAAATTCAAAGAATCTAAGAGACGCAAAGAGATCACCTCAGGCAGACTGCTATCTTTGATCTCCTTGGCGAAACGGTTAATCGCCTTTGTTCTTCGGTGTATCTAAAAGACATTTTATCAATTAAGAAGTCACTGTAAGATTTCTATCATCTCTCATATGCTATAAGCTTCAAAGATACAAAATATGAAAGGAGTTTACCTGAATGCTAAAAACGTTTTTAAAGAAATCAACATCATCATTTTCAGAACATAAAGGTCTGAATGCAGCAAGATTCCCCGAATATGGAAGATTCGTCACCATTTTTCGTATCAAAAGAATCTCCTCCTGCAGCAAATTTAATCGTTTCTAAGAATCTTTAATACAAAGAAGAGAGCCATCTTCAGAATTACATGGGTCACTGTACCTTTCCAGTTGAAATTCCTTTGTTTAGCGCGTCTCCAATGTGTTTCAAAATAAACTTGTTTATAATCCACAACACACGATCTCCTGTCCAGCTTGCATCAGATTTTAGAACCTCTTGACCATTGTCAGAGTGAGCTGAAGCCTCTTGGCAAAGTATGGAAGCGGAAAATTCGATAAAAATGCACAAGAGGTTGAATGCACAATCCTTTAAAGTTACTTCTGATGACGATATGTTGTATAAACTCTGTGAGAGAATGATCATCATGTGCTGCTCCGAGGATTTGTTAAAGAAACCCGCATCAATCTTTGCATAAGCTCTAATTATTGTTTCATAGTCGAGGTCATCAACTTCCATGGGTGAGGTTGCATTCATCTCGCTGAAGCATTTCACCTGTAGGATTACACAACCACTAGTTTGTTACAGTCTCAAAACACAAAATGACTCAGCTTCAAACAGAGAGATTTGTATATACTTACCGTTAGATCAAGAGAAGAGTCGATTTTTGCAAGAGATTCAAGAAGATCACAAATGCATAATCTAACATCACGTTCAGCATCAACAAGCAGAGGAGAGACTGTATCTATAATTTTGCTACTACTCTCACTCCCAAGCAACGAGGTGATGTCCTGTATAGCTAGCAATGCCTCACGGTGAATATCTGCTTAAATAATATGACAGACACACAAGACACGAGAATTAACCCTTGTTTTAAAAATCGCTAGGCGTTAGTCGGGGGCAGAGGTGGGTCTAGCGCCTAGCAAGAAAATCGGAGATTAATTTCAGGGTTATTTTATTAAATAAATAAAATCATAAATATATGGTGTTAATTAGATGTATAGTTTGACTTCTGGTAATGAAATAACACGACAAAAAAAAAAAGTAATGAAATAACAAAGTATAACATACAAAACTATAATATTGGTTTCAAAATTGTAGTAAATATATCAAAATCATAATTTTAAAGCCAAATTTATGTTTTTCATTAAAATTTTGAACATAAAGTATTGTAAAACATCACAAATTCTCAATATAAGTGTTTAATAACCGACAAGAAAAGCTAGGCCGGGATTAGTCATTAATCGAAACGGATAGGGTGGACCTAACGATTACACGGGGAGTAATCGGACTTAGGCGGAGATTTTTTAAAGAGGAGAATTAACTATATAATTCTAACCAAGAAAAGAATTGAGTAACCATACCAGAATCTTTCACACGTTTATCCAAGAAAGACAGCAACATATCCAAATACACCATAACATTAGATTCATCTCGGATGTGCTTCGACAATAGTTTAAGTATCTTAATCTCTCTTTCTCCATGATACTTGAATGATTTCCTGATCATGATTGACACTTTTTTCTTTAGAACAAAACAAGTAGAAACAAAGCAAGTTACAAGGAACCCTTACCTTTTCAAAATATCCCCACGAAGAAGAGAATGCAAGCTGTTAATCAGTGGCTCTATATATGGATCTAAGAATCCTTTCATCATATGGTCGTCATCATCATCCAGGTCGCGCTCAAGACTGAGAAGATTCTCTATGAAACTCAAGGCAGAGGACTTTATAGCTTCTGAAGCTGTTGTCACTGTTAGAATTGAAAAAATGTCTGGAACAAGAGACTCTTCCCGACATAAGAAGGCGACGAGACTGCGGCTTTTACTCATTGACAAGAAGCATGAGAACAATGAGCTTGGTTTCTCACTGCTAGAACCTTCCTGCTTAAAACTCTTGATTAGCGGATTCACTGCTGTAAAGAACAGGTCCCAGAACTCAGACCCAAGATCACAATCCTCGTACTTTTCAAGAACACGAGAAATAGTCTTCAAACATAAGGATCTCAACTCTTTAAACTGCTTCAAACAAGTGCCAAAAAGAAAAGAGCGTCGGCAAATATATTCCAAAGAAGTAAAATGAGCGGAAACATTATTAAAATTTTTACCTGGTCGTGCTTTGTTGCAACACTTTCTTTATCAACATCGATATATGGATCATAGGTTATCAATAGCCGGACAACACAACCCATAAGAAAGTCTAGAAATGGTCGGACATGGAATACATCAAAGATTTCAAGTATATGTTGTATGACATGAAGAAAACCACATTTCTTCTTCCAGGATAAGGTCGAAATGGTATCGGCGTTGATAGATTTGAGGAGATTCGTCTTTTGGAAATAATCCAGAGAGCTTTTGCCTGAGCTAAACAAGTCCATTGTTTCCTCAGATATAATGTTCAAAGGCTTCATCAACAATGCAAAGAACAGAGCAAGTTCATTAACATCTAGCTGAGATATAACGCCAAGAACCGCCTCCCGGTGGCGAATACTTGTATGCTGAGCAAAAAAAAATATAACTATTTGAGACCTAAATGAAAACCAGCATTGGCAAAGGTGAAGTAAACTAAAAAGTATGTAATAAATGTTACCTTACGCGACGCTGAATTCTTCAAATTCCTAACTTTAGGCATAAGGATTCTAATTACAAGAGAAACAAAATGACATCTGTGAGCTTCTTCAATGTCCTTGGAGAAGTTCCAGGTCGCTAGCTCTTCTCTCAGTTCTTTTGGTTTGATCAAATTCTCCAAGCGATGGCGGTATGGGAGTAAATAGTCATCCCACAACACAAGGCACTCTAGGACACTCATCTGTATTTCAGCATCATTATGGTCCAAGAACCTGGTAAAACATCCAAAGAACACAAAACACATACAGAGACATGTCAATGAAACTATCTTACTCCCAAGATATTCAGAAGAACAACATGTTCTGACCAACCTGTTCTGCATAACATCGTTTACAAACTGACTACAACAAGAAGACCTCGGATTCTTCATTAACTTCAGTAAAGTCAACCATTGTATAAGCAACCCTTTCCACTCCTCTCCTTTACAAGCTCCGCCATTATAGAATCCGACCCTCAAAGTATTTTCGCTGTTGTATCCCAAAAAATTCAATAACAAAGGGAGAAGATCAGAGGCTCGAGACTGTGCAACAGTGGGAACTTTTTGTAAAGTCTTGAGCAACAGAGATACTACTTTCCCAGTAGACGTGCTATCAGATGGCGGAAGGACAAACAAATTAAACCGCTCTATCAGACCTGCAGATGGATGAAAAGGATACTATAGGAGATGCAAAATATTCTAATAGAAGATACAAATTACTGAGATATGAAAATCCTACCGACGAAAAAAAAGAAAATCCTACCAGTGTGCTTCTGTGAAACGGTGTAGTTTTCATTCTCACTATGATTGTCAGGTGCTTCAAGTTTTAGTTGGCACTGGCCCAAATATTGAACAAAATTATTCCACACCGCACCTGTGTGCTTCTTCATAAGAACTGCAAGGCACTCAGATACAGGTTCCCATATTTCGAAAAACCGATTATGAAACAACCCTATCATTCCCTTAAATACAAGTGGCACATATGCGTCATGGATCCTGCCAGCAGAGAGATTTGTTTGTATAGTAGTAATGCCCCTGACAAACTCTTTTGCAGTCGATACTGTGAGATTAGACTCCTCCACTGCTTTCAATAACTTAAGAACCTAGAAATTTGGAGGAGGTAAAAGAATAAAGATTTGAGGATAAAGCTATTGGAATACTGAAATAAAGACAAAAACTCACATTTCTTTCAGGTAAAGACTTTTGAATCACTTCAGTTTTCAGCTTCTTCATTGGAGGATGCTCTTCTAAACAAGGGTTGTTGGGATACAAAGTTTCAAAGTGGCACAAAATCCTTAAAGACATAAGACGGACGTCTTTTTTCGAGTGACATAAATTCTCAGAAAATATGTCAAATGCATCTTCAACATTATTTGCTTGGAGCTCTGGACATGCCTTAGCGATGTCATTCTTAGCTAATAGAGGCCTGTGATTTAAAAAAAAACAAATCAGTGTACCACCACAGAGTCATCAAACATGAATAAACCACCAGAACATATAAACTCACTTATACACAAAATCCAAATAGTCAGCCACAGGAGATAGCACTTGTACACATGACTTGTATGATTTAGCAAGATACAAAGCTTCCTCTAGATCACTACATGGCCTCAAATGGTTAGTTCTACCACTAGAACAGAATCTGTGACATGACCTCAAAGCAGCACCAAGTAAGCTCTGCCACATCAGTTCTGGAGCACTATAAGTGTTTACTGCCAAATGCTGTACGAGAGTATTCTTAAAGCAAACCAGCAATGATGAATCCACTTTAAAATAGGGAAAACATGTGACAGCTCCCCAAGCAGAAGCTAAGTCAGCCTCTTCAATTTGAGCTAATCCTATATTCTCTATATTCATTTGGATTTTCTTAATCTTCTCTTCCAAGAACTCATGAATTCTCTCGAATGATTCATCTATGATGTTCACCGTGTCATGACTTGTTTGCACACTCTCACACAGTGATAGTAACAGAGGAATAACCTCCTCAGGAGACACCAAAATCATATTGTTGATCGAACTGCAACACATAAAATTAGTCATTAGAGACATAAAATGAGAGGCAGACTTGAAGAGGTAAGGAAAAAAAAAAAAGAACACGCGAGTCTTGCCTTAATATATTACTTGTAAAGGCTTTCAGAATTAATTTATCCTTTGCTAGCAAATCCCACAAAAAACTCACCAAGCTGCAAAGATTCTATGATCAATAAGAAAGAAGAATAGAATTTAACGTTGAAAAGTGTATACAAAATACCTCGAACACTTAAATGAAAAAATGGGGGTCCATTGCGAAGCAATAGATTCCATTTCATTGGCAGCAGTGGGACTGTCGATAGTGCATAACATAAGTCTCAGAACTTTATCAAGAACAGCAGAGGAATCCATAAAAGTTGAAGCAATCTGGCTCACGAGTCCAACCAAATATGGGTAATCTGTTACACATTGGCAATATTATCATGCAAATGTATGCTTTTATGGGGTGCACATAAGAAAGAACAACATCAAGTCGAAGAAATGAACTCACCATAAACCTTGAGACCTTCCTCAACCCTAACAATGGAAGTAAGCAGAGTCAAGATTCGGCTTAAATGAGTTGTTTCTTTGTTTTTGATTGATTCTTTTGTTTCTTCATACAGGCAGTTCCAAATAACACATAATTCTTCTGCTTTAAAATCCTCGCATATTCTTTGCAAAGTTGAACTCAAAGCTTCTAATATACTACCAGAACCTGGAAATGAGATACAAGGTCCAGCCAAGATCAGAAGGAAGAGAACCATGTAAAACAGCTTAGGAGTATAAAAATCAAACGAGTATTAGAGAGAGATGACTAGACTTTATGAAATAGTCCAAAGTATGTTTAGGAAAGAGGACTTGCCCTGAGGAAAATGATCACAAAAGGACAATGTTGAATCTTTCAGCAAGAACCTCAAAACCTGCCCAGCTTTGGAATGGAGATGCACAGAGGTACCCCTCATAACATGATACAGAAGACTAACCCCTCCAAGTTTTTTCAGTGGATCTGCAAGTTCAGAGAGGATCCTCTTGATCCCTGCAATGTTCACCGGGGTAAGAGTCAAATGTAATGTCCCTAACATAGAAATGACAAAAAATAGAAAAACCGAAAAGAGAGAGAAATCGATCACCTATTTCGAGTTGCTCATCCCGTGCGGTCCTCAACAAAAATGCTATCGAAGGTGACATAAGTTTGATAATATATTCGCGGGGGTAGTACCTCAGCTCCAATGTATCCCTACATCAAAAGAAGATTAATTTAGAAAATAAAGAAAACCATGTAGCCTAGGATTAGAGAAATCCCTACAATATGTGTGTATATGTAGTTTTGCCCTCCTCATTGAATCAAGAATTGGAACTGTATGATTCTGAAATTACCTGAGTATACCTTCGATGTCGCAAATGAGATACTTCTGCAGATCCCTCACCATGTACGACCATGATAAGAATACCTGGAGAGGAAAAGAAAGAAGATATTAAGCATTATCTGAATGAAAAAAACACATATTTAAGCAATGTTAGACAAGAGCAACAACCTGCTCAATAATATCTGGCTCTTTCTGTCCACCATCTCTTAGGAGGGTCACTATGGAGTTAACAACCCGTGGAAGGAAGCTAGACAAGATAAAAATAGAAAAGGAAAAAGGTAAGAAGATATAGAGAAGAAAAAATATAGATCACTTCTTATATAAGAGCATATATATCTTAGCAAATTTTAAGCTAAGATATGGCTTAAGATACCACTAATAATGGTACTCACGGAAGAAAGCCGTCCAAGAGATCCCTCGATAAAGCAGAAATCAACCTGTGGAAAAAAAGAAAGGTTGTTTACAGTTATAAATAGAAAGAAGAAGTAATAGAGACCATAAGTGAGTGAATAAGAAGTACAGAGTGGGAAAAAGGATTAAACCAGAGAAAGGCTTCGAGAGAGAATCTTGCATTCATATGTAAAGCAGAGACAAGTTTAGAGAAGATTAAGTCTTGATGCAAGACAACCAAAGGCAGAGTTTGAACAAAGGGCAACATTTCTTCATAAAATGAAATAAAACCCGCTGCAGTATTCAGTTCCTGGATTTGATTTAACCAAATAAAAACGAAACTTAATACAAATCATTCTCGTAAAAATACTTGACTTGTTGGTAACATGATATCAAACATACCCTAAATTCCACGAGGCAATCCTTGAGATATGTGGAACCTTGTGAAGGCTCATCCTTCACCTTATGGAGGCTCCTAAAGACTTTGAGGACTTTTATTTCAATGTCAGCAACTCTCTCGGCGAAGTTCTTGAACTGCATCCATATGTAAGAAACCATAATTAGAAGGCATGCACGTACCCAAAGATAAGACCATCCTTATAGCTAGTATCTTAGGGTGTCTTAACCCCTAAGGTACTAACAATAAGGATGCCCTAACAAAAACTCATGTCAGAGAGAAACGAGAAGACGAACCACAAATCTCTTCTTTCCCTCAAAGTTGTTGAGTGACTTCACAGCCCTAGAATCAGCACAAGTCGCCATGATGAGCACACGGATGCGACTGCGAGAGATTGGCTTGTGTTTTTGTTTAGGTCAAAAGTCAAAACCCCTTTGATATAATCGTCAACTGATTTTTTTAAACCTTAATTTTTTAAGACATTATTAATCTCGGTCCGCCCAGACCGAACCACTGATTGTTGTTAAAACAAACCTGTCTCGATGGAAAGTGTATTTGTTCATATATTTCTCCAAATTGGTGAATGGTGAAGAATCTTCTACGATTTGATGAATCTTGAAGCTTCGTAAGTGGATGTTATCAGTTGATCGATTCTCACATCCTCTATTTGAATTCCAACTTTTTAATGCAAAGTCAATTACACCTAAAATATTTGTACAAAACAAACAACTACAAAAAAACATATTTACACGTAAACAAATATACATACTGTATATAGACAAAACAAATTATTTGTACACATACAATTATATGTATATAGACCGCGGTACGAATGAATTTCCGTACAGCGCCACACATCTGTACATAAAGATAGTTGAACGTATCAAAATTTGTTCAAAAAATATTTGAAATTCTTAAAATAAAATGCATATTAAATTATAGAGAAAAAATAGATTTTTATATAACTGAAATTTTATAGAAAACAAATATATTTTGATGAATATTCTAGTTATTAGATTCAAATGGATTTTTAATTGTGTCTAAATAGTAAAAATGTATTAGTTTGCTAATAATAAATACAAAAGTGTACTAAATACTAATTTTATAATTATCTTTAAAAAATGTACTAAAACCCCAATTATACCAAATAATATTTGTTAGATTAAGTCTTAAAAGTCGTGTCTTGATGGTTGGAATCTAGCGCATGCGTGGCCGGCCCTGCAAACGGTGACTTGTAGATAGTTTTATTTGCACACGAACCATTTACAAGTTTCTATTGGGTCTAGTCGAAAAATTATATATTAGGGTCAAATTCAGAGCCCGAACACACGCTGACCCATTAATTAATCCGGCCCAGCTAATCCGATACTCAAATAACTACTCTACCAGTTTCAGTAGACATTCCACTGACACTAGATATACCAATTCCTCCTTATACGCTTGCATCCGTTGGTCAAACTTGCTATCCCAAACCTTAGCAGCTTCCTCCTGAGTTATTTGTTAAAACCACGTTATTGTCAAATAACTACACATCATTAGATCTGATATAGTGAATTTTTTTCTTTCTGTTTGATTGTTTAGTGCGTGTTAGAAGTTGCTCACCTCAAACTACACACACCTAAAAGAACCCAGACGTTCTGATATTTTAGGCCCATAAAGACTATGAGTTAGCGGTCCGTCACATGGTCTGTGTCCAGGCAAGAATCGTACGACATTTAAATCTAAACATTCCATCATGACTTAAAAGAGTCAAGCCTTTCGGATTTCTTTTTCGGATTAATTGGAATTATAGTATGTTTTGGAAACATAATTGTAAAAGTGATACAATCACTATTTATAATTTTAAAAGTAGTCATATTTAATTCTTTTGTACTATTTATAAGACTCAATAATCCTCATATATATCTCATATTTACCACTCATGTCATACCATGAAAAAAAAAAAAACAAGATCATTTCTCTCTCCTTCTTTAGTTTCATTTCATCTCACATATTAATCTTTTAATTTTTTAATTATTTTCTCTCACCGCTCCATCTCACTTTTAAAAAAAAAGAAGTTTTGTTTTTTTCTTACATTCTACCCAAAATCTAACATGTAATATATTCTTCAATATCAAATATTCTGTTAAAAATTTCAGACTCATAAAATTTATTTATTTTTCTATAATTTTACATGTATTTTTTATGTCTTTTATATATGTACAGTTAAGTTATATATGTACAATTATATCTGTACAGTCAAATATATACAATTATATATATAAACAAATTTATATGTATAGTTCCATCTGTACATACATTTTTTGTACAATAATTCTTATATGTGCAAATTTATACAAACAACATTAGCCTGTACAATGGTTTTTATACATACATCTATATGTACAAACGTTTTTATGTACAGTGATTAACATCAATTCAAAAAAATGAGTTATAGTATCGTTGAGATAAGCATTAAGAAAAATTTTTAAATATGAAAGTATACAAAATTACATATTTGAAAAAAAAAATTTAGAAATAATTATACTACGAATTATATTGACTTTTGTTATCCTTATTTAAAGTTAATAATGTCTCTTTTTAGTTCTCTTTTATTCACCCTCTTGTTTTAGCTAATGAGATTGCACTATGACATATTACATTTAAATATAAATTAAAAATTAAACAATATTTAAATATAAATTAAACTATTAAACAATTATTACATATTAAAAAAGTAAAAACATTAAATAAACACATTTTTTTTGTTAAACCCATAATCTCATTTAATTGTACCATCTAAATCTTAATTCTCTTTTATAAATTGAAACAAATAAATAACCTTGTATAAAGAGAATTTTTGAGAAATACCCCTTTTGGTGTACCACTTTTTAAAAATACCCCATTTATCTATCCATTTTCAAAAATACCCCTTTTTAAATATAAAAAATTATAAAGTTTTATATAGTTTATAAGGTATTTCTATATAATAACTACTACTGGGAGATTCGATACAAATATTTTAAAATGTTTTAAATAGTTTTAAATCGTTTTTATAATTTTTATAAGGTTTTTAAAAGGTTTTTAAAAGGGTTTATATGGATTTTATAAGGTTTTTATAATTTATTTTTACGCTATTTATGAAAGGTATATAAAGTTTTATACACATATAAAGGTAATTTGTGTATATATTTATAAGCTTACACACATATTTGGATAAATTTCAACGTTTTTAGTGGGTTTTTTGATAAAGTTTGAAAATAGGGTATTTTTAAAAAGAGGTATATGAAAAGGGGTATTTTTGAAATTCCCCCTTGTATAAATTGTGTAATCTAAACTCTACTCCTTATTTATAAACCTAAATCGACATAAACCCTTGTTTAATTCTAAAATCTAAACCATAATCCTCATTTATAAATCCATGCAACCATATAACATGTTTAGTTGTAAAAACTAAAATTTAATCCTTCTTTATCAACTAAAATTGACATATAATCTGGTTTATTTGTAAATATTAAACACTAATCCCTATATTAGTAAAAGAAAAGTACAAAAATGAAATGGGTCGGGTCAATTTAAAACATTACTCAAAATTACCCGATTCGGAATACATGGATATTTAGATTATTGGATCTTAATTTGGGTATGGATATAACCCATTATTGAATAATTTCGAAAATATTTAAAATAAATATTCCAGTATTTTAGGAAACTTATTAACTAGAAATGTATCATTTCTATATTTTATGAAACTATATTAATTATGAATAAGCAACTCCTATATTTTAGGAAACTATATAAATGATTAAGTACAAAAGATCTCAATCTTAAACAAAATTCCAAATATTAAATATGGAGATTTATACATTTAAAAAAAAATACGATTAGTCAATTACCAATTAAAACACATTATTAAATCTAATTTAATATGATAACTTAAATTGATCCTAATTATTTGGAATTAATTAAATAGTTTTTAAAATATGAAAAAAAAATCAAATATATAGAGCTATACAAAAACGAGAATACTATAATTATATAAACTATTTTTCATTCTTTTGTCATTTTTCCTAATACTTAAAATGAAAATGAAAAAATTGGAAAGATATTCTGATATTTTCTCATATCTCTATCAATTTAATTTACCTAAAAAGGGAAAAAATCTTATAACATTAGCATAATTAATGAGAAATTACAAAGATCCGGTATATTTAAAAATAATTATTCTAAAATTTGGGAACAAACAATAAATATATTGTTTGAAAACCATATATAAACATAAAATAAATAATTAAAATTTGACGATAATTATTATAATTAATTATGAATTAATTTAATAAATCAAAATTATAAGATGATTATTATAATTAATCACAAAATATTTTAATAAAAATAAAATATTTTTTATTAGGGAAAATTTTACTTTTTGTTTTTTATTTTTATTAGGGAATGTCTTTGAAAATTTTCTTACAAATTAAAAGAAATAGTTTCTTTTCGATATATAATTTATTTGTATTTATCAGTCATTCTAATCAGTGTAATACAAAATCAGTTTAAAATGGTTCAATACAATACAACAATATTGAAATCATATATGTTTTTGATATCAAAATATATTTTTCGAGTTTAGATTAAAATACTATTTCACAACTTATTAACTACTATTTTTTGCGAACCAATGATAATAAAATGGAATTAAACATCCTAAACATTAAAAAAATCCATAATACTAATTAATCAATTTTCTTATTCGGAAATTCAGTAAAATAGAACGTCATTATGAAATTCATTTTTTATAGTTCATATATTAGGTCTTTTAATTGAAACTCACTTCTAAAATATAATTATTATTCTCAAAAATAACACACTATATTGAATTAAAAATGTAATATATTATAATTTATAAATCAATATTACTATTGTTATCATAGGAAAATTTAAAATTTTCCCGTAACTTCTATTTTTATAGGGAATAAAATTTCTCAATTTTCAATTATTTTCATTTTTATGTCATGATTCAATTATATTTATTTAATTATATTTCTATTTTCAAAAATTACTCATTTTTTATAATTTTTAAAAAAATATACGGATCTTTGCGGGTTGGTTTGTCACAATATACATTGTGAGTATGTCATTTGTTTAATACACATTTTTTTTAATATTATATTTCATTTCTGACTAGATAATTTCTCCAACTAATTGAAACCAAATATACATTTCGAAATAATAATTGTTAATACTAAAATAAACAAAATAATAACACATCTGATAAAACATGTTAAAAATAAAATAAACCGAAAACATTCCCCCGCGTTGTAGCGCGGGTCCAAACCTAGTATCTTTGATAAACCCAAACCAACATAACCAAAAATTAGGTTAATAATTTAATTAAAAGTAAAAAACTCTGAATATTTTAATGTTTTTGTAATTATTGGATTAACACGATAACTTACTATAAATATCTATAAAATTATATTTACTGTGATAACGCTTTTATTATATCATATATGAGAAATTAATGAGTTATATGTAACATTATAATATATTATTATGTCCAAAAAGATTGTTTTTATAAATTATTATACACATTTTCATGTTTTATCGTATACAAAACGTCTAAAAAAAATGTGATTTAATGATCTAGTTAACACAATATTACATTTGTTATTCACTAAGTTATAATTTTTTATATAAGGTTTTAATTAACTCGGTAATTTGATTGTTAACAACTTTGAATATGAACAAAAATCACCACTGTCGTCAATACAAAATTGAAATCATCTAATTGAAATCACCATTAATGACCCACCAAAGAAGAATTATCGATTCAATAACTATGGGTAAAGACAACTACACTTTTCGTCAACTTCCTCGTAACCGCCGTCTCCGATGTAACACCGTCTCCGACCACCGCATGAATTCTTCTTCATGGACCTATCATGGCACCTCACTGTCAACCTGTGAGTCGTGTCTCACTTTCGTCGCCTTGCATCAACCACCGCCATCTCTACCATCAATCATGGAAGAGTTCTAAATTAATGAACTAATTAGAGCAAATAATGTTACTCTAAAGACATATATGTCAAATAGTACACAGGTGAGAGAACTAATTATTGATTTTTCTATGTATAGATAGTGCTATTACCCATTAATTAATAACGTTGAGATTATAATATTTTATTAGTTTATGAAGTAAGTAACTAATTTTTAGATATAAATATAGAGTAAAAAACTAACTTGGGTCCGAAAAAGTATAAGAATTTATCGAGGTATTCATTTATAGAGGTTATATTGTATCAATTATCAAATCCTGGGGTCTCAATGCAATTATCAAAACATTGAGGGGTATCTATGTAAAACCTCAAAGGAGAGAAAAAGTTAAGAAAGATGGAGATGCGGGGTATCGATCCCCGTACCTCTCGCATGCTAAGCGAGCGCTCTACCATCTGAGCTACATCCCCATTTATGTTAGTTAAATCAACATTATTTATCTCAACCTGTCACAAAAGGAGATGCTTTTGAGGTTGAGATCAGTAAAGGATACGTTTGCTTTCTCAGTTTTGTGATGCAAAGCTCATCCAAGAAGTTATACTAAACTGATTCAAGATATCATCGAAAAAAGAGTCTAAATCTATAATTCTGGGAAACAAAAATCAGTTCATCCTTTGTGGTTTGATCAAAACAGAGACTTGTGATCTTGGCTAATCGCTCTGGTAAAGCATGAAACCTATTACAATCGAGAGTAAAAGCACGAAAATCCCTACCAAAAGCGGGACATTGGATGCATTACCGGCGTTACTTGTTCTCTTGCGTTCGTCTTCACCCATTGTTCTTTCTACATTCTGAAAACCGGAAGTAGATGCCGGAGGAGATATCACGTCCCACATTGATTCCGCGATCGATAAGGAAGTTTCGGTTTCCACTTCTGAAATCTTTGATTCGTCAATAGAAGAATGTTCCATGGACATCAGCTCAATGCAACGTTCTTTTACCACCTTTTCAAAAAAATCATCAAACATACATATTAGAATGTGGAAGAAGAGTTCACAGAGCATGATGAATATGAGACGGGATTTTTCATATACCTCGTGTGACTCAAATGGTTGTAGATAATCGCAGATATACATACCCGCCAGCCACGGAACAAGAACTCTCCTGGGAAGACGGAGATGGCATGCTTTTCTGTTTACAAAAATTGAGACTTTAAAGTTGGTTCCGTGTTTATCAGTAAACATAACGCTAACCCGACATTCAAAAACTTTTATGTTTAGTAGCTGACTCACGTAGATGATTTGAAGATGAGTTTGGATATGGGAATCTCATTTGCATCTTCATTGTCTCCAACATTCTTTGGACTGAGATCCTGCTCGGCCTCATCACAGATAATGTCCAATCTACTTTGCAAACTCCTAATAATGTCAGACTGAAAAGAAAAATCCAACCATCAACAATTTTGTAAAAACTTAACATTTATAAGTAAATAAGAATAAGAAACCGGGAAGAGACATCGTCACAGTACCTTAATGTCAGTAATAGCTTGAGAAACTGGTTCTTTTACGTTCAAGTAGGCGTAAGAGAATATTGAACCACTGAAGAGTAGAACTCCAGTAACATTCTTTGCAGTTAATGCTTCTCAACATTACACATAATATTAGATACAACCATCAGAAGACATGTCCAATAGCAAACCAAATCAGTGTGGCTAAAATAGAGAGAGAAATACATACCCCCAGCACGACTATCTTTCATGAACGGGAATAATAGTTCAACTTCATGTTCGCCATCCGTGTTGCAAGGCTCGTCGTTATGCACCTTCAGTCCAACATAAGTTAATAAGACATTAGAAACAAGGGAAGGTTGTTAACAGCCGAGATAGCATCCATTATGTAGTCTACACTCTCAATAATTTAACTGACACAGGAATGCTCGATGAAGCTACATTTCAAACAGACGCCATTCACAGAGATTAGATCACTAGAAAGAAGCACCAAGCTTTACGAGCTCTGAATCGATTCAAGAACTCAATATCCAATAATAGCAAACATAGAAAAAAAGTATAAAGTTTACTTTCTCCTCACCAAGTCCCCATCAACCATTGCATTTGCACTCTTCAGCTCTTTTGCATGAATTGCAAGTTCTCGACGTAGGATATCAGTAAATGTTTGGGCATTTGACTCACCCTCACGGTAAATTGGTACTCTACTCGTGAAAAAGGGAATAAAATCATTAGAATAGGTCAGCAATAAATACAAAAGAAAGAGTTCAAATATATATAAGTATAGTCATAGATACTGTATTCGGAGAAATCATAATAAGAACACGCATGAGTGCTTATCCAAATTTCAAAATTAAACACATAGGCAACTGGGTGCTCCTCAACATAATTAAAAAAAAAGTACGTTGTGAACTATTTTTATACATGAACATCACATTCATAAATAAAAAAAATAGAATGTAGAATTTCATAACTCAAGTCAAAATGCAGTGACATACCTGATATTGAAGTTGTAGCTGCACTTAAACCTCTGTAGAGAACTTAACACCCTTCCCAGCTTAAAGTCACAAGGTCGAAGACTACTTGATGTAATACTTGAGCTCAACAAACAAGTCCGACAGCTCCATCTGCAAAAAACATACATCATCCTTAGTTTAAGAACCAGAGACAATTCACCAGATTTCTAAAAACTGAATCCCTTAAAAGGTGGAATACCTCCTTGGACTGTAACATATGTGAACAAGAAGAGCCTCATCCAAGCTTGGATCCAAATGTCGTATGGCATCTGAAACTCCCTTGATAGCCTGATAAAAGTTCCCATAATTTAGATCCATTAACAGTTACTCACTAACCCCCTAAAAGCTTAATATAACAAGTAAAAGACACAGAGACACAATCAAACTAATTCTCTTATTTCTAAGACAACCATAGAGACACATATCAGAATGATCTCAGCTGATCTCCCACAAAGTTACCTGGCAAAGAATCATAGTAGAATTCTTAAAAGCAGCTTCACTAGCCCATACATAGATACCAACAACCTTCATTCCACCCAACAACATTCTCGATACCTGATCCAGTACAATGCCAATCATCAAGAACCATAACACAATCACCTAACAACAAAAATCTGAGTCACAAACCTGTCGAGCATGTTCTGCAACCCAATCGGAATCAATCGATAGAGAAGATGACTCTGATTTTGACTTTGAAGGCTTCCTTTTATCATCCTTGGTCTCCAAAACCGAGCAAGCTGGTCCTCCATCATCGTTGCTAGGTGTTGGAATCAAATCAAATACAAATCCACGATCCAGAACAGAGCTAAGCTTCCCTATCACAAGACCCACCTAACCTCAAAACAGAAAAAAATCAAATCTTTATCTCAAGACAGAGACAACATGCATTTACACAATAACATGAAACTAATCAAATTTGACCTCAGCAGGAATAGCTGAGTGTGAGAGACGATCTTCAATAGAAGTAAGTCTAGTATCTTCTCCAACCACTGCTTTCACCATTGTTTAACGAGTGAAAGAAACTGCAACAACCAAAAAAACAAAAAAAGATTGAATCTTTTCAAAATCCCAGAACCCAAAGATGGAAAATTTTCATCGAAATCTCATAAACCCAAGTTGAAACTGAAAAAAACCATTGAATCAGATTGAAAAGGGGGAGATAGTGAAGGACTGTTACCTCTTTCTGAAAGATCGTTCCTTTTTGGGTGAGACCAGAGACGAGAGAGACATCGTGCTATTCTTCAATCTTTCGCACATATGCACTTCATGTTGTCTTACGTTTACACATATGCACATCTTGCCGTCTTTATGACGAAACATCGTACCGTTTTTAAAAATTAAGCCGTTACCTTCTTACGCTTTTGCCTTTGACCACAACATTTGACGTCAATACGACTACGATGAGTGCTCTCTCAAGCTTCCATCAATCATGGAAGACGTTGATTCTCGCGAGCCAACGTTGCAACACAGTGAAGCAAATCAAATCAACGCATGCTCTGTTCATCATCCATGGCCTCCATCGAAACACTTACGCGATTAGCAAACTTCTCACAGCTTTTCTCCATCTTCCTAATTTGAACAAACACTTTCACTACGCTTCCACTATCTTCGATTCGATTGAGATTCGTAATACATTTGTCTATGATACTATGATAAGAATCTGCTCAAGAAGCTCTCTGCCTCAGTTGGGTTTACGATATTTTAGGTTAATGGTGAGTGAAGATGAAAAGGAGGAAGAAGATATAGCTCCAAGTTATCTCACTTTTCATTTCTTGATTGTTGCGTGTTTGAAAGCTTGTTTATTCTCTGTGGGTAAGCAAATCCATTGTTGGGTGGTTAAAAATGGTGTCTTTTTATCGGATGGTCATGTACAGACTGGTGTTTTGAGGATTTATGTGGAAGATAGAGTATTGGTGGATGCACGCAAAGTGTTCGATGAAATTCCGCAGCCAGATGTTGTGAAATGGGATGTTTTGATGAATGGGTATGTTAGATGTGGTTTAGGATCTGAGGGTTTAGAGGTGTTTAGGGAGATGTTGGTTAGAGGAATTGAGCCTGATGAGTTTTCGGTTACCACCGCATTAACGGCCTGCGCACAAGTTGGGGCTCTTGCTCAGGGGAAGTGGATTCATGAGTTTGTGAAGAAGAAGAAATGGGTTAAGTCTGATGTATTTGTAGGAACGGCACTTGTTGATATGTATGCTAAGTGTGGTTGCATAGAGACGGCTGTGGAAGTTTTCGAAAAGTTGACTAGGAGGAATGTCTTCTCATGGGCAGCCTTAATTGGTGGATATGCGGCTTATGGTTATGCAAGGGAAGCTATTATGTGTTTGGACCGGATGGAGCGAGAAGATGCTATTAAGCCTGATAGTGTAGTTCTTCTTGGGGTCTTAGCCGCTTGTGCTCATGGAGGATTTCTTCAAGAAGGCAGATCAATGTTAGATAATATGGAATCTCGATACGGAATTACTCCAAAGCATGAACATTACAGTTGTATAGTAGATCTGATGTGTAGAGCTGGAAGATTAGATGGTGCACTTGATCTAATTGAAAAAATGCCCATGAAACCGCTTGCGTCTGTTTGGGGTGCTTTACTGAATGGTTGTCGAACGCATAAGAATGTTGAACTTGGAGAACTAGCTGTTAAAAATCTTCTTGAGTTAGAGAAAGGAAATGTGGATGAAGAGGAAGCAGCTCTAGTTCAACTATCCAATATTTACTTTAGTGTTCAAAGAAATCCCGAGGCATCTAAAATTCGTGGGATGATAGATCAGAAGGGAATAAAAAAGGCACCAGGATGCAGTGTGTTAGAGGTGGATGGAGATGTTACAAGATTTGTTTCAGGAGATTTGTCGCACCCAAATCTGCTACAAATTCACACAGTGATTCATCTCCTATCTGTTGATGCCTTGCAGTTTCTGTAGCACTCACTCTTGAAGCTGCAAAGCTTATCAGAAGACATTCTTGAGCTGTCTTGTTTCTACAGATCTTCTGTTGATTATCTCTATCTGCAATGCACTCGAGGGTTGATCTAAGGCTATGTAGTACATATGAAGGACCAAGAGGAGCTTCTGAACATGATGCAGTTCTATATCCTATATATTTAGTGGCATCATTTGACCTCCCCCAGGAACTGGAAAGTTAAGCTTAAGCTGAAAGAAAAGGATGAACCTCTCTGAGGACCCCTGAGTGGCATTTTAAAGAAGTGGCTGATTCAGATTTCATGGTGTCGGGAGAATGGAAGAGAAGTGCATGAGCGAAGAAAGGAATGAAAATGGCATGGCGTTTGAACAGACCTATTAAGCATCTATAGAGAGTAGAGTGAATGAGAATTCTGACACTGGAAAGCTGAATAAATAACGTAAGACATAAAAGCTCATATGATATTTTTTTCTATCTTCTTGTTTCTGTATACTAGGTAATCAAATCTGTTACTGCAGGTAACCCCTGATTGATGAGGGTGTGTGTCTTGTCTTCGCTCAGGAACAATGGTTTCTCTCAGGTACGCTCTTGTCTTTCTTAAGATTTGCTGCCTTGCGTTATGTTGTTTTCCTTAGAAAGTAGAAACTTTTTTTGAGTTGTAGAAACTTGATGTTTAACAGATTTTGGATCTTGTTTAACATAATACTCAATATGATCGGTCATTGGCATCTCACTAGAATAAAAGAAGCTTATTGACAAGTACTTGTTTGGAAACCTAACCAAGATCTTGTTGAAAAACAAGTACTTGTTGAAAAACAAGTACTTGTTGAATGTTTGCCGTAGTATTGAGTTTTGGTTGCTTAGGGAGACATTTCACATACAGCCTGCTGCTAGATTCTTGTAGCATCAAGTTTGGTGTACTCTATGTAAAAAGGTTTTGTTGATATACAGCGTGTTACCGAAATACACAATAACAGAAAACAAAAGTTTGTGGTCTTGGACAACAAACTCTCTGTAAATTTTGAACCATTCTTCAAGAAGTGCTTGCAGCATCCCCTGTAAAATTTCAAATACAATCTCCTCAATTTTTTTAATTCAGGGAATCCATAGTTGACATTTTCATGACTAAACCAGAATACACAAACTGAAACTGTTATGTTGACCGCATTGTCTAATTTATGTCCTTGTACGTCATGATTCATGGTTTTAGTATGCTGGAAAGTATGAACTAAAAAAGCTAACTAACCTTTTGAAGGCGAAGGGATCAAGACGACATGCATCTTTGTGTTGTTGGGAGGGAGATGCAACCGCAGGGGATATAATTTCCCGTTTAAAGGGTTTTTGGAACAGATCGATATATCACTCAGACCTGTCTCTTCTTTAAGCTTCTCTTTCAGCTCTTCTAGTCCCATACCCTTGAAGCAGAAAAGCTCTTCATTTGCTGTTTCATCCACGTTTCCATCTTCATCCCCGATTCTATAATAAATTAGCCTGCCATCTGCCTTGACCGGTGAGCGGACACTGTCATCAGACTGATCATAAAATGTACAAAACAAAAGGTATAGGTCAGTGATGTTGATGCAATCATTCCAAGAATAGTTTTGCTTCTTTGATAGATGCTACTACTACTTGTTTATGTAGTAATGAATATAATAGTGGGGAGCTGATCAAACCTCAGATTTGGAAAATTTTGGAGACCTGAGAGAGAATCCATTGGGTGAATTGGGCTCTTGATGATCATCTTTTCTTACTATCAAAAGTTCTGGTGGTGGCGGAGGAGGCGGGAGAGGCGTATAGACCGGTTCAGCCACCGGGGGTGCTTTCTTCTTTCTGCTATCCAAAATATCGACATCCCATAAAACCCAGTCCTGTGTGGTTGACCTATGAGGAATATCATGTGTAATTGAGTTCCTCCATGGCGGTAAACCTCCATTAGCTCGGAGATACTGCCCATACCTATTGAATTCAAATTCTCTCACACCATTCATATTCAAGAAGACTGCATAGGGGAGAGATGGCCTCTGAAGAAAATAACTATTCAGAGAGAGATCAAAGTAGAGACATACCTCGTCTTGAGTCTAACCTGAACACCTTCTCTAACAGGTTCCCATTCAGTTGATGAGTCTAGCCTCCGTGGTAGTGTTTGAGTTACCTTCTTGCCGGTCATACCAAGGAACATTGGGATGTTTGAAGCGGTTAGGTACTTGCCAAAGCAGCTCTTGAGACGAATCACATCCGCCTGTTCTACAACCTCCACCGACCATCTTGCATTCATAGACCGACCGTCTCTGTCCTGGCTCACGGATTCTTCGTCCTCCTCTGCTAGAAGGTACTTGTCATGGTAGCTACGTAAACGCACGGTTTCAGCCTTTTTGAAAATCTCCATTATTGTTCTGTTGTATCAAATTACAGATACATCTTATTAAAAAAAACTCGTATACAGATTCCTTTAAAGCCATGTACAAACGGTAAAAATATGATTGCTTACAATCTTTCCTGCAAATTTTCATTATAACATTTGAAAAATGATATCAATGTTAGCATTGCCTATACCTGAAACAGGGATCTGTGGATGGCCAAGGCTGCGAGTTTACGTTCAAGGATTGGTTTGAAGATGATCATTCATGGGAAAAGTTTCAGGTACTTTGGAACCCTTTTTTAGTTTCTTTGATTTGGATTAGAGAAAAAAAAGGTTTCTTTTGTTTTCTTGTTTGTGGTGTTAATATGTATTAGAGATTGTTGTTAAGGGCATATTAGGAAACAGCTACGTACTTGTATTTGTATGACATTTCATTTCATCTAATATTAGTCTAACTCACGAGTGAAGTCAGGAGAGATTTCATTTTCTTGTTTTATATATTCTTGAATTCTTAGAACAGACGAGATTTTGTAGTGTTGTGTTCTTGATTTTTTAAAGACAAGGAGCATGAGTTTGCAGAAAACGAAAGCTGGAAACGTTAGGAACATATAAACTGTCTCTGAAATTGCTAAAAAAGTTCAAGAACACCATAATGGTTAGATTCTAAATCGTTAACCATGAACTAGACTTAAAATAACATGCGAAATGCTTTGAATATCTTGTCCTTCTTTTTGTCCTTGTGTACATCTACTTGATCTCTCTGAACCTTCTTCCTTCTCTCTAGAGCTTGAATCAGATCTTTAAGAGATCCTTCGACATCGATTTCACGGTTTTTCTTCATCAAGTTCTCAGCAACATCAGCTGGCGCGATCTTTGTTTCCTTTATTAAAGACTCGATCTGTTTGAACAGGGGATGGGAATCAAGATCCAGATAGTTCTTGGCTAAAATCTTGAACGCCTCGAAAGTACAGTAAGACAGCTCAATATGCATATCCATTCTACCTCTCCTGATTAAAGCCGGGTCAAGTTTCGCCAAGTGATTCGTCGTGAAGACAATAATCCGCTCTTGTCCACAAGCAGACCAGATCCCATCAATAAAATTCAAAAGCCCCGAGAGTGTTACGAAACTCTTGTCTTCTTCTTCATTACCTTGTTGTCCATCTTTACTCAAGTTTGTCGAGTTGCTCTCTTTCTTCTTTCTTTTACCCGTAAGATCCAATGAGCAATCAATATCTTCAATCACGATAATAGACTTATTAGAAGTAGCAGTGAGTAGTTTCTTCAACTCCGAGTTGTTCCGTATAGCCGTGAGTTCAAGATCATAGATGCTATAGTTCAAAAGGTTCGCCATTGCAGCAATCATTGTCGATTTACCGGTCCCCGGTGGTCCATAAAGCAAGTAACCCCTCTTCCAAGCTTTCCCAATCTTCTTGTAATAATCTTTACCATTGCTAAACGCAACAAGATCATTCAAGATCTCCTCCTTCTTCTTTGGATCCATAGCTAACGTCTTAAAATTAGCAGGATGCTCAAAGTCAATATATCTCCAAAAACTAGTCTTGCTGGAACCCCAATGAGAACTCGGATTATTTGTGAACAACTTCATCTTCTTGTTCTTGTCTTCAATCGATTTGCCTTCTTCAACAACATATTTTATGTAAGAATCCGTTACAATATCCCGCGAGCGTCTATGAAAAGTGAGCTTCAATGTTTTAAATCCAATGGAATCAGTTGCATTCTCCCACCAGACACTAACTCCTTCATACTCATCTCGCACTCTAGTCTCGTCTCGTTTCAAAACCAACCCTTTACTCTCTCTAACCTGGCTTGCTCTTAGATGCTTGGCCTTATCAGTTGCTTTGGCCCCAAGATAAGTCTCGATAGCCGCGAAAGCTTGATTGTATCGATAATCTTCGAACTCAGAGAAGGCGATTTCGACATAAGGAGAGAAGAAGTTAATGAATCTGTCTGAAAACCTCTGGAAAAATGAGAGTTGTTGGATTGTGGAGATAAGAAACTCTTTAATAGCAATCTTGAAGTGGTTTGGGAAGATTTGTTGAATAGTTGCCCATAAGAAGAACAAACTCGCCATGCTTGAACCAAATGTATCACCCATCATCATCATAATTCTTTAGATCAAAATCTTTATTTTTTCGTTTTCTAGGATTTGGTTGTGTTTTTGGCTATGAGTATATTTATATAGTGTGTATTACTTGTAAAGGTAATGCGTCTTTTCTCCAAGTCTTTGAAACCTTGGTATCCAAGGTTTTGTAATACTATTTTACCAAATTGTTGTTTTTTTCCTTTTCATTACCAATATTAATTCAAATAATAATGAGTTACCATAATTTGACTCCATATTTGCCTCTTTTTGGAAGATTTTTCTTGTTGGTGTAATGTTGATTTGTTTCCTTTATTGGTTATAGTATATGATGATAAAATTTAGCTTTATTTGGTTCAAATTTAATGAAGAGTTCCCATAAGTCCCGACTAATGTAATAATAATAATAATCTTCTTTGTAATGCTATTCATGAACACGTACGTAGAAACTTTTGCCCAAAGATATATATGTATTATTTTTGTAGTAGTGGTCCTAGTGGATGATGATGAAAGATTGAAAGTTATGTAAAATTGCATGGCACAAGTGACGACTACATCAAAGTCCAATAGAGTCAACTTGGTCGGTCTATTTTATACTTTATAGAGGAGTAGGTTAAAGTGTATGTATATTCACACTTTCAACAACACGTTTCTCAAATTTCATAAACCAAATATTATATCAATCTTCATATATATGATTATATCATATCTAGCAAAATAATTGTATAACTCAAAAGCATATTAGTCTTATTAGTCTCCAGCTACGTAGTTATCTTTTACTTTTTCGAAGTTTCCGAGCTTTGTCCATGTCATTTCCCTAAATATATCTTCATGTGTACTTACCGTAAACGTATATAATATAAATATACATATCAGCTTTGGCCACATTTTTCCACAACTTATGGAACAAGATAAAAGATTGTGTTTGTCTAAATACAGAACCGTGTGATGTGAACGCTTTTGTCGTGGGTGTTTTAACTTATAATAGACAAGTTCATACCACTTTCATAGGTGGTCAATGAATCATTACGACAACTTTGTGAATGTGATAAGATCATTTGGATAAAATTTGTACGTTTTCCCGACAAAACCCACGGAATTATATAGAGACAATAAAATCCAAAACATATGAAATGATTTTACGCACATTTTAATTAGTTTAACTGTTTACACGTCGTTACATAGCTACTTTGAAACATTCATTGTATTTTATGTACACATGTAACACATCTACTCTTATTGTTTAAGGATTGAGATACATTGAAAAATATTATTAGCAGAAAGGCCCATGGGCCTTGTGAGCTAGACCTCAACTCTAACAGCTTCAAGCAATGATCTTTATTGGCAAACTCTCGTAGAGTTGAGACTTTTTGTTACCCTAAATCTTAGCTCAATTTCTTGGGCCATAAGTAATCTTTCTTCTTGTTACATTGGCTGAGCAATGTTCTGAACCTTCTGATTATCTAAATGAAACACAAATAATTCATGAGATAGACAAGACTACATGTATACATCAAACTCAACACTCTTCTTCACCATTTTCTTCAATCTTTTTCTTCTTCTCTTTCTCTGCCTCTTTCTCTGCTTTCTTTTCCCTTTTCCTCTGCCTCTCTTCTTCCTCTTCCTTCTTCTGTTTCGCGTCTTCTTCGACCTTCCTCTTCGCTTCCTCCTTCTCTTCCTTCAACGCTTCAATCAATCTCATCAAACAAGTCTCAGCTCCTTCCTTTTCTGATTTAGGCAACAGATTCTCCCCAACATCCGCTGGTGTCATCTTGATTTCTTCAACCTCAAGCAACCTCTTTATCTCATCAAACAGCTCACTCTCCTCTACATCCAAATAGTTCTTGGCCAATACCTTAAACGCTTCGAAACAGCAATACGACATCTCTATATGCTTATCCATTCTTCCTTTCCTAATCAAAGCAGGATCTAACTTATCCACAAAGTTTGTAGTGAACACAATTATCCTTTCACCACCACAAGCTGACCATAACCCATCAATGAAGTTAAGTAGCCCTGATAAAGTAACTTTGCTCTCTTTATTCTCACCTTCACTTTTCATCATCTTCTTCTCAATAGCATTCTTATCATCTCCATCTTCTTCTTCCTCCTCTTTCTTCTTTCTCTGTCCAGTAAGATTAAGCGAACAATCGATATCTTCAATCACAATAATCGATTTAGCAGAAGTCTCAATCAACAACCTCCTCAGATGTGTATTATCCTTCACTGTTGTCAATTCAAGATCATAAACATCATACTCCAAGAAGTTGGCCATTGCAGCAATCATGGTTGATTTACCTGTCCCGGGTGGTCCAAACAAAAGATACCCTCTCTTCCAAGCTTTCCCAATCTTCTTGTAATAATCTTTACTCTTACTAAACTTAACCAAGTCGCTCTTGATCTCTTCCTTCTTTGTCTCCTCCATAGCTAAAGTGTCAAAAGTAGCTGGATGCTCAAACGATACATGACTCCACTTAGTGTTATTACCATGGCTCTGTCCTGGAGTATTAGAATAAAGCTTCCTCTCTCTGTTCTTAAGCTCTATTGTCTTCCCTTCTCTCATAACATGGTCAAGATACCTATCTATGATTACTTCTCTGTCACGTCTATGGAACCTCAACATGTAAAACCTCTTCTCATCAGCTTCAGGGTAAAAAGAGAAAGATTGTCTCGTACCTTTCTCTTTCTTAGACTGCCACCAAACCCTAACACCTTCGAAATCGTCAGTGATCTCTTCCTTATCATCCATACTAAGAACAAGAGATTTGCTTCCTTTAGTTGTGTTGGCTTTAAGCTTCTTGGCTCGAGCAGAGGAGTCTTTACTGAGATAGCTCTGAATCCCTAAGTAAGCCTCACTTCTCTTGAAATGCTCTCCACTGTACTCATGAAACGTTATCTGAATGTAAGGGTTGAAGAAACCAAAGAGTCTGTGAAAGAATGGTTCCAAGTAGTCTCCGAACTGAGGAAAGCACTGTTTAAAGATTGTGTATACAAACATTAGCGTAGCTAAAGCAGAGCCAGTATTAGTCCAATACTGACCCATCGTCGCCATTTTTTATTGTTTTAGAGCTTTTGGAAGAGAGTTCTTGAACTTTTCAAGAATTGGTGAGAATGGTGTGTGGTTCTGGTATACAAAGAGTTCAAGATTGTTTAATAAATAGACTCGAGAAGTCTCTATCAAAAACATTATATTATTAAACTCTTGTGGCTGCGTATGCACATGTGACAGGAAGCTACCTATTGAGTAATGACGAAACTCTTATGAAAAAGAGCATGAAAATACAAAAATTATTATGAAAAGAGATGGAAATTTCTAAGTTTAAAAACTCAATTGTGCTTTTTCTACTTTATTTGTGAGAAGTAGAGACGCCAAAATAAATCTTACGTGTATTGCATTTTGTTTGTTAAAAAGCATCTTTTTATATATCTAACTTTTTAGATTGGATAATATTTTTTTTTATTTTCTTATTGTCCACTAGAAATCGAATATAGTTAGTCAGCAATACAAACAATACATCAAGAACTCAAAAACTTATTATTATTTTTTGAAAAAAAAGTAACTTTTGAAGAGTCTTGGTCTACTAAAGTGATAGAGACAAATTTGCTGAGTTCTGAGTTCTGAGTTCTCGTGGTTTGTGTCAGAGTTTTGCGTATCAGTTTCCTTGAAGACCTCTGCTTTTTTCTAACGTACGACCTTACAATAAGTTCAAGTCCAAGTCAAGGATTGAGACAACTGATGAGTTTGACGTTTCTTCTCTGATTTCAGACTAAGTCTACAAAAGACTCTTTTATAATCAGTGGGTTTATAGGAGAAGAAGCAAACCTAGAGGCCCAAGCCCATATAACTTAACATATTCACAAGTAGTCTTGGGAGTTCGGATATTCGGTTCGTTTTCGGTTCGGTATGATTCGGTTTCGGATACTTCCAGATCTTAACTATAAGATCCATTCGTTTCTTTTTTGGAATTTCGGTTTGGTTTCTTTCGGTTTCGAATCTAAAAAATTGATCTAGTGATCTAATATTTTTGGATTATTTTTGGTTTGGTTTTGACCGAAAATTTTAGGATATGTTGTGATATTTCAGAAATTTTTGAATTATTTTGGATATTTTGAATATTTTTGGATTTTTTCAGTTTTTTTTGTTTGACTATCGGATAATTTTTTTGGTCTAAAAATAACAAATATTTTAAGTATATAATTGTATTATAAATATTTCGGATATCCATTCGGTTTCGGTTCGTATGATTCGGTTTTGGATACTTTCGGATCTTGAGTATAAGATGCATTTGGTTTTTTTAAAATTTTGGTTCGGTTTTGGTTCGGTTTTGTGGGCTCGGTTTCGGTTTGGTGTATTCGGTTTGGCTTTTTCGCCTAGGACTATTCACAAGGTTGTCAAGCCTAGAGTGAAATCGTGTCGTTTTCGAGATCTGGTTTCTAGCGTTAGAAAAATCTCAGGAAACAGAACTTGTGAGGATTTGTTGTGTTTATTGTTGTATAAGCTCTTAAGTAAGAGCTTGATCTAAACCTTTTTATGATCTTGCAAAATTCTTATGTCTCTGCAATTTTCTCTGTTTCTTTTGGTTCTGTTTCATGTCTCTGCTCAAAGTGATTATTTGCAAGGTTTTAAGACCACTAGAGTTGTAGTACTTGCTCTAACAAAATGTTACAGGTTGGTATAGTTGCCATCACCAAAGTGTAAGATATGAACTTCCACATTAATATTAAGGTACCTACTTAGTTCAACAAGTTTGATCTTACAAGCTAGATTTGGTGACTAAACATTGAACTCAAAGCAGCTAATGAGCTTGTGCATCATCAAACAATATAAATATACTAGAATCTCACTGTTTTATAATTTGGTTAATCTCCTTGTTGTTCTGTTGTCCATTGGCCCAAAACTTTTGGTTGCAGTACTTGATCTTCTCCAAAGTTTGAATCAAAGCCTTGAGTGAACCATCAACTCCAGTTTCACGATCTTTCACCATCAGAGTCTCTGCAACATCAGCTGGTGTTATATTCGTTTCCTTCAGCAAAGACTCAATCTTTACAAACAAGACATGTGAATCAAGATTCAGATAGTTCTTGGCAAGAATCTTGAAAGCACCAAATGTACAATAAGATAGTTCAATATGCATATCCATACGACCTCTCCTGATCAAAGCTTGGTCAAGTTTCCCCAAATGATTCGTCGTAAAGACAAGGATCCTCTCTTGTCCACAAGCTGACCAAATCCCATCTATAAAGTTCAATAACCCTGAGAGTGTAACTGCATTACCCTTCTTCTTACCTTCTTTATCTTCTTTCACTTCTTTAACTTGTCTCTCTCCAGTTAGGTCTAAAGAACAATCTATATCCTCAATCACAATAATGGACTTATTAGTTGTAGCTATCAACAGCTTCTTCAACTCCCAGTTGCTTCCTATCGAAGTTAACTCAAGATCATAGATGTTATACTTCATAAGATTCGCCATTGCTGCAATCATCGTAGACTTACCTGTCCCTGGAGGTCCATACAACAAGTAACCCCTCTTCCAAGCTTTACCAATCCTGTCATAATACTCTTTACCATCCCTAAACGCCAAAAGATCACTCAAGATCTCATCTTTCTTGTCAAGATCCATAGCTATTGTATCAAACGTTGCAGGATGCTCGAAATCAATACAACTCCAAAGACCTTTCATATGAGTTTTCCAATGCAAACTTGGATTGTTCATAAACACTTTCACTTTCTTCTTCCTCAACACAATCGATCTCCCTTCTTCAACAACGTAGTTCAAGTAAGAACCAGTGACAACATCCCAATTACTTCTATGAAACGTGAGCCTACAAAGTTTCTTCCCTTTAACACATCTAAATATCTCCCACAACATACTCACACCTTCATACTCTTCTTCGATCTTAAAATCGTCCCTTTTCAAATCCAAAGACGTGTTCTCCTTCACCTGACTCCCTTTAAGATTCTTCACTTGAGAGTTAACTTTTGCAGCAAGGTAGGTCTTAACAGCTGCAAAGGCATAGTTATACCTATTCTCTTCGGTTTCGCTGAACTTGATGTGAGCATAAGGAGAGAAGAAGTCGAGGATCTTGTCTGAAAGCTTCTTGAAAATGGGTACTCGTTGGATTGCGTTGATGAGAAGCTGCTGGATCTGTCGAGGGAAGTATCTCTTGAGAGTTGACCAGATGAAGAAGAGACCAGCCATGTTTGATCCGATTGTTGCTAGGTTATCTCCAAACATAAGCTTCACTATCGATCCCATCAAGACTTCAAAGATTGGTTTCTTGGCTTTCTGAATTTTAAGGTTTTGATCTCCTCTCTTCTTGGTTTGACTCATAGTCTCTGTTTGTGTTTGTGTTTGTTGTGTTGTGTTTGTGTTGTGTGGCTCTCTCTTCAAACAAAGTGAAGATTGAAGACAACTAATATAACGCTTCTGAAAATCATCATTACAATTTATGGCAAATTACAAAAGAAGAATTAATTTGCTTTTTTATTCTACACTTTTCTTTTTTTTTTATTTAATGTTATTTGTTTTTAAGTTATTTTCCTATATATTGTAGTCAAATTTTGTTTTATTTCCCTTTTACAACAAGTTTTCTAAATTTTGTATCTTGTTGTATATTTCATGCCTTTTTGGCTTTTTCCAATTTGTAGCTGGTCACCTTCTTGACTACGACTTTGACTGAAATAATTTTTTTTTTTTTTTTTTTTGCATATTTGCTTAAATGATACAATAGTCTTCAAGTACATCATAGGTAAAGTCTGACCAGTGACCAGTTTCTGGCTAGTGGCATGCTAAATTGTACCAACTACCAAGGTCTCAAATAATCGAGTTTTGTTTCTTTTATATCTAGATCAAGTTATTATGAGTGACCATCATAGAGATATTTCCTGCATAAACCAATAAAAATCACAATATATTTGCTGAGGAATTTCAAAGCTTTTATGAGTCTTAGGCATATTTGGTATGGTCTTGGTTTGGTATGATTCGGTTTTGGATTCTACGTTTAAGATCCATTCAATTTTTATTTTTTTATTTGGTTTGGTTTCGGTTTTGGTTCGATTCTGGATCTTGAAAGAAAAGATTTAAAACCAAATTATTTTTGGGTATTTTCCGGTTTTGATTTAACTAATTTTCTTTGAATATTTTGGATATTATCCGAATAATATTTTTGGTTCGATTTCAATTCGGTTATTTGGATATTTTAGTTTCTTGGTTTGGTTATTCAGATCGTTTTATTTTTGAGGTACTTTTTAGTTATTTGGTCTAAACAACAATAATGCTTTTTTACATATCTATATTAACATTTTTGAAGTAGCTTTTGTGTTCTACCCTTTTATTTTTTAATATTTACATAATTAAATCTTTGCCATTTAATTAAATAACTAAAGATTAGAGGAAATTTTGTAATTAACTCATAATAAAATTACAAAATTGGAAATAGTATTTATTACATTTAACAAAATTTCCTAAAATATCTCTCTAATAAACTAAAAATTTCTTAAATATCTTTATGTTATCTTATTTGTTTTCAAATTTATATTCTTACATATAACATATGTATAATAAAAATACAATTTTTTCTGAATATGTTGCAATATGAATTTTTGAAAACGGACGTATATTAATCGATACATAAAATGTATGTAGCACGGGTCATGTGATGGAACACGTTATAAATTACACTAGGTTTGGACCCGCGCTACAGCGCGAAGGAAATAATTACATATATATAACTTTTAATGGATTAAAATATGTTGATGTAAAAAAAAAAGACTAAAATATGTTACATTTTAATTTTGTTACAGTGCAGTCGATTACGGTAAATCATATATTTGTATAATAAGTTTAAATAAAATAATAAAGGAAAAAGCGAATAAATAATCATATACTGAGTTTTGATACAATTAAAAACAGAGTGAAAATTTAACAGCACGAAATAATATTTGTCGATAAATTATTTATTTTGACTATTTTTTCTAGTAAAAGTAGGAATATACGTAAAAAATTACATATACAAGATATTTTTTGAAGGTCCAACCCGTAATATAATTCATTTCGTAAAAAACATTATTCGTAACTCGCTTTATCATTATAATTGTGATTTTAACAAACTACCCGTGAACTATCTAAAATTTACATAGTTTGATATTTTATCAATAAAAATTTTGTCTCCAAAATTACATTTATATCTTCAAAAAAATATTTCAATATTTTAAATTCTAATTTTTTTTTTATATTTGAACCTTTTACTTATGATATTTTGAAACTATTTGAAATTTTAAACATGCTCATGTAACAATGGTTTTAATATTGGTCATATTTATAATGATTTTAAACCATTGTCCAAAATATTTAACCGAGTGTAGTTGAGTATTATTTGTCCGTTTTGATAAATTCAAATTGCAACATATGCAAAAAAAAGTTAAATTTTTATTAAATATTTATATTATATAGTATAATATCGTAAATTAAAAATAATATCAAATAAAAGTGAAAGAAGAATAATATTTTTAAATAGATTGTATTAAATTAGTTAGAGAAATATTTAGTAAATCCTATAATTAGTTATGGAAATAATATAATCCTAAAATTAGATTTGGAAAGTATCCGGTGTATGTATCCAAACCCATTAATATATCCAACTTTAAAAGATCCAATTACAAATTTCGGATAATTTTCTTAAATTGACCCGACCCGAAAGCACTTTTTGTACTTCTCTTTTACTAATATAGGGATAATTATGATTATAGATGTTTTTATGGGTTGTATACTATAGTATAACTAACAAAATATTTTAATATGAAATTATACTACTTAAACAAAAATGTTATGTCAACATCATTTCATTATTTTAAATATTATACTTATTTAATTAAGTTGATCAAATTACGATTATATAAAAGATAAATTATCATATAATATTTTACGGTTAAATCATAATATTAACAATTAAAATATAGTAGTACACTCTTATATATCAAACAAAATTAGTAAAAAATACATTTTAGAATATCATCCGCTAGTATAATTGTATTTCGTATATCCATTAAATTTTCGATTTGGTTCCGGTTCAGTATGATTTGGTTTCAGATTTAGTTTCGGTTCCTCTATGTTTGGTTCGCTACACTTTGGATCATTTTTCCCCCAGTTTTCTAATGAACCAACTTGAAGTAAATGTAGATAATAATACATACATCATATTCTGTTGACCAAAAAAAAAAATTTATATATATATATATATATATATATATATATATACATACATCATACTTTGAGTCTTTTGCAAATAATATATAAACTTTTTTTTAAAAAAGTCATTTTCAAGAGTGGAGATACTTTTAAAACAGTGTAAGAGGAGTCCTTTGTTGTCAGAACATGCAGTCTTGGGGAGCAAGCTACCATCATTTTCATACATACAGAGATTCTCAACAGAGGATCTTTTGGTGGGTGATCATTTAAGGTCATATAACCCAAAAGACCAAGACATGATACTAAACTATATATTAATTGGTTTTACAAATTGGTATGATTCTTTAAAGTGAACAAGAAATTTTCATTTTTCAAATATATAAGACTACTAAAACTATATGATTAGAGACATTTTATAATTGTAACAAAAAAAAAGCAATTAAAACATGTTCTAAGATAAAAAATTAAAATACTCAAATTTTACCAAAATAAAACTAAAAAACATCAAGAATTATTATTGGGAAAAATGTCATTTAAATCCCAAACATTCAAATTTTGGACATTTAAATCACGAACTTTCTATGTGGCCACTTAAAACATGAGTTTTTCGTAGACTTAGTTTTTAAAACATCATCTTTCGTTTACCAAGCCGAAAAGAACATCATATCCTACAATCCCTTCTTCTTAGTTTGTTTTGTAGTTGAAGAACTGAACCCAAAACGCCACCGTTTAACTTCAGCTTCCTTCTGATTAGGGTTTCAATGTCTTTCCTCTGCTTTCTTCTTCTTCTTCCTCACTTCCTTCTTCTCTTCTTTCTCAGCCAGCTTCTTCTCTTCCTCCAAAGACTTAACCAAACGCTTAAGACAAACCTCTGCGTCTTCTTCATCAGACTTTGGCATCAAATTCTCAGCAACATCAGCTGGAGACATGTTAACTTCCTCCACAAGTCTCTTGATCTCTCCATACAAGTCATCATGTGACTCAATCCCTAAGTAGTTCTTAGCCAAAACCTTAAACGCTTCAAACCTACAATAAGACATCTCAATATGACTATCCATTCTTCCTCTACGTATCAATGCTGGATCAAGATTATCAACAAAGTTCGTTGTAAACACTATTATCTTCTCTCCACTACAAGCTGACCATAACCCATCAATGGCGTTTAGTAGCCCTGACAAAGTAACCTTACTCTGCTTCTTCTTCTCCTCTTCATCCTCTACATCCTTATCTTGCTCCTTCTTTATCTTTCTCTGTCCCGTAAGATCAAGAGAGCAATCAATATCTTCAATCACAACAATAGACTTCCCTTTTGTATCCAACATTAACTTCTTCAACTCAGAGTTATCTGCCACTGTTGTTAACTCAAGATCATACACATCATACCCTAAGAAATTAGCCATTGCAGATATCATTGTTGATTTCCCTGTCCCGGGCGGTCCATACAAGAGATAACCCCTCTTCCACGGCTTCCCAACTTTCCTATAATAATCTTTCCCTTTACTAAACTTTACCAAATCCTTCTTGATCTCTTCTTTCTTCTCAGGATCCATAGCCAAAGTCTCAAACGTTGCAGGGTGATCAAAAGAAACGTTACTCCACTTACCTCCTAATCTCCAAGAACACCACTCATTACTTGATTTATTAGTGTAAAGCTTCCTCTCTCTCTTCTTGAGCCCAATCTCTTTCCCTTCTCTCAAAACATGATCAAGATATGTCTTTGTGATCATCTCTCTATGACGACTATGGAAACTCAAAGTCATGTACCTTCTCTCCACATAAACCTTATGACGGTTCATACTAGACTGGTTCAAGTTCTCGTTCTCACTCACGCTTGAAGACCACTTTACCTTCACACCTTCAAACACATCTTCAACTTCCTCGTGATCATCCAAACTCAACACCAAAGATCTACTGTTTCTTGATTTGTTAGCCTTTAATCTTTTCGCAAGAGCTGTTGATTTCGTAGACAAGTAGTTGTGTATGGAGTCGTAAGCTTCACTTTTCTCAAGACCTTCTTCTGAATACTCGTTGAACTTGATATGAACAGAACTCGAAACCCATCCCATTAACTTGTAAACGTATCTCTCGATGTAGACTTGAAGATGGTAAGGGAAGATTTGTTTGTACATCGCCCAGAAGAACATAAGACTCGTCATTGTCGTGCCTGTGAACCCCCAAGTCGTTCCGGTCTCAAGCATTTTTGTGTTTGCTTGTGACTCACGAAACTCTCCTCTTTGCTTTTTGTTTCTCATGAGACTTGTCAAGTCTTTGCTCTGTTTTTGGTCTTAACCACCTCACTCTCTATTTATCGAGTGTCTCAAAGCAATGCCACGAAATATTTATTTTTATTTTGATAAAACAAATATGTACAAAAAAAAAATTCATGTTATTTGAGTACAGAATTGACTAAAAAGTATTCAAAGATTTTGGTTTATTCGTTTAAATCATGAAGATGCTATGATCTTCAAGCCAGCTAGGTGCAGTGGTGGGGGACCAAAATGATTCGTAGTTCTGAGTTCTGACCAAAATTCTATTGCTAGTAATAAAATGTGCACTGTAATAATAAAGTTTTGGTATTGATTAGTAACTTACCTAAAAACTAGGCCCGGACCCGCGCTACAGCGCGGGGGAAAAGTGTGGGTTTTTACTTTTTCCGAATTACGTAAACTTTTAACTGTTAAAATGGATTTTTGGTGTTGAATGTGGCAAGTATGAGAATATGTACTATCATTGATGTGTACTTTGTCACGTATGCTAGGTTCAGATCCGCGCTATAGCGCGAAATAATATTTTCAGGTTTATTTTATTTTAACGTGTTTTGTCGTATGTGTTATTATTTCGCTCATTTTAGTATCAACAATTATTATTTCGAAATGTATATTTGGTTTCAATTCTTTGAGAAAAGTGTGTTTTCGGAAATTAAATATAATATTTTTATAAACTAAATAAAAGAACGTTTATTAAACAAATTGTATACTCACAATGTATGTGGTGACGAACCAATCAGCAAAAACCCGTGTATTTTAAAAAAATCATGAAAATATATGATATTGAAAAATTATGAAAATCATGTATATACATGTATCACACAAGAACATATGAGTTTGAAAGATTTGTATATACTTGTATCCTATAAAAAT